AATGTTTGTAACCGTCTCTCTAACATTGGGTAATGTAAATTTCACACGATTTGTTTTTTTCTCATTAAGAAGTAGGTTATTAACAGCAAACCAATCAACTACTTTAGATATAGCATTGTTCACATCGTCATAGGAACATTGGTGCCTTTTAACTTTAAATAATAAGGAAGTATCATCAGCAAACAATACTATCTCATGTTTTATACCCTCCATAAGGCTAGGTAAATCATTAATATAAACTAAAAACAAAAATGGGCCTAGAATTGAACCTTGAGGGACACCCATGCTAATTACAGACCCTGACGATCTCGTACCGTTAACATCGACCCTCTGTACCCTACCACGCAAATACGATTTAAGAAGGTCGAGATCACGTCCCGCCACACCATAATGGCAAAGTTTCCTGACCAGTGTATCATGGTGCACACAATCAAAAGCCTTGGAAAGGTCACAGAATACACCAATAGCATTATGTGAGACTTCCCATGCATCAAATATATGATTAATCAACTCTACACCAGCGTCGGTTGTAGAGCGACCCCGAGTGAAACCAAATTGTTTAGGAGACATTAAATTATTACTATAAAAATGTGCACACATCTGATTTAGAATAATTTTTTCAAATATTTTACTGAGAGTTGGTAGTATTGATATAGGTCTGAAATTGGTGGGGTCAGAAATACTACCAGATTTGAAAAGTGGAATAACTTTACTTTGCTTCATGAGGTCAGGAAAGACACCATCATCAACACATTTATTAAAGACACAGGCTAAGTAAGGCGCAATACAATCAACTATAGAACTAATTACTCTGACTGAAAGACCATCAAGATCAACAGTATTTTTTATATTTATAGACTTAAAGGCTTTAACAATATCGTTTGGAAATACATGACGGAACCTTAAATTAGTGATACTAACTGCATTATTTTCTTTTAGTAAGGATTCAGCGGCCGTGGGAGATGAATTTAACGAATTAGTAGTCAAAATTGGAATGTAGGTAAAAAAATTTTCAAATATTTTAGCAACTTCTGCGTCTGTGTTTACAATTTTGTCATTAAATCTTAGTTGAAAATCTAAGTTACGAGGTTTGACCCTTCCAGTTTCGCTATTTATAATATTCCAAGTCGTTTTTACTACATTCGCGCTGCTTTTTATTTTATTATTAATAAACATTGCTTTGGCTGCCACACAAACACGTTTAAACATTTTCGAATATTTCCTAACAAAATCATTAAAACTGTTACTAGTGTTATAAGTTCTTTCATCGTAAAGATCATA